TATGGTGTGAATTTTGACTTCAGGGTTATAAGTTGAGGTCCACCATACTTTGTTTCATATCTAATTTAAATATTGTAAACTATAGCCCTTGTAGTTTTCAGGGAGATTTTTGAAGTATTTACTATATAAGGAAAAGCCATGACCACCTGGGGTGAGACCAATTTTGACCCAAAGGGCTATAATGTAAACAAAAGTAGTACAGGTCTACCAGATATTGTTTCATGTCTTAGCTATTGTAGTTTTAGAGATTTTTAAAAACATTTTACAATATACATGTATATAGAAGGAAAAGTTCACCAGAGGTGGGGCCAATTTTGACCCAAGGGCTATAATTTGAACAATCTTGGTAGAGGTCAACAAGAAAATGCCTTATGAAAATAAAATAATTATGCCCCTGGTGTCAAAATTTGCCTGACCCTGAGGGTCATGAAGTTTATATACACCTGTATAGGAAAATACATTTAAATCTTTTTTTATGTCACTGCATATAAACTTCATGACCCTCAGGGTGGGACAAATTTTGACCCTAGGGGCATAATAATTTTATTTATGCAAGTCTAGTAGAAGACCACAAGGTAATGCTACTTGCCATGCCAAATATATCCTAAGATCCTCTGAGAAATTATTATTATTATACAAGTCTATATTGTGTAATTAAGACAACAAGACAGTAGATTATGTGTTTTGTTCATCAGACTTTTGTAGTTATGTAAAGGTCAAGATGGCAGGACCTGTTTAAGCTTTACTAGTGGAGAGAAGAACTTTGGAATGATCTTCTGTGTAGATATAAGGCTAAGCAAGGCACTCTGAGAGAGAACTTGGCCTGCAAAAGCCAGTAGCTGAAGCGTACTACTACAGAAGAATCAAAGTCTGATATGATTTGGACCAACTGAGTGAGAGAATATTGAATATTTGAAGTATAGATCAAAGTCATCTTAACTCAATAATAAAGAATTGTAAATAATGGTAGATAAATGATATTATGCATTCTTATACTATAAATCTTTGTTTCAATTATTCACAATTACTGTCACTTTATTCTATTCATCAATAAACCTTTGTATTTCAATTTACATGCATGAATGGTTATAACAATGAAATAGAAACACTCCGTTTATTTAAATAATGTACAATATGATATTAATAATCATAAGCCAGTTAACAAAATAAGCACTTGTGTTTTAAATTCAATCAAGTTAAACTACCAACCAGTGCCACATGTATTTCTATTCTTTTCTAATAAATATTTATTTTTCTCAAAATCCAGTACACTCCTATTACTCCTTTATATGAAACATAAAATCTAGTAAAAAAAACAAAACCACAAGAGCTACTACTACTCAAGTATGCTTGTGATAATTTTCATATTCCCAGACAAGTAGGCATAGCTTGACATAATATTATTTGTTTTGATTTGGAGACAAACTACTTCACAAGTTACATGTATATAAAAGTAAACTATTGCGAAATTTCAAGAAATACATGAAAGTATAAGAAAATGAAAAATCAAATTTTAAGTTTCAGAACGAGTCATTCCATGAATTGATAAAGAATAAAAAAGATGATATTTAATTGTCTGTTATTTCAATAAGGTTACTTAAATTCATTTTAAACTTTGTACATGCATCAGTTAATACATGTATAATAAGTATTACATAATTTCAAACAATATGTGAAAGTAAGAGGTAATGGAAATACCAAATTTTACATTAAGAACAAGTCATTCCATGGTTTAAATGAATAGTTGACATTATAATAGTCTGTTATTTCCATTTTGATTCCAATAGTTTACTACGAGGGATGTCCGGAAAGTTCATATACTTCTTCATTTTTTATTGTATAACAATACATACATTGTACAAATTTTGTCAGCAAAAATATACATATCTAGCGAACACATTTATCAAAAATTACTGAATTGTGACTTACGTTTGTATTTTTACAGCATTTACATATAACATATATACATCGTCATGGAGCACTTTGACAACGTCAACGGCGTCAAATTAATGTCATGTGTATCCACTATTCAATTTCTTCTGATTTAAACAGCCATGGAACCTGTCTGGCGTATACTTTATACATGTTATGTTCCCTTGCTATTACTTTATTAATTTCATATACTACATAAAAAAAACACAACAACAACAAAGGTGTCACTGGTTCCTATACAGTGTGTGATATGTCTGTCTTTTTCAAGGATTGTTGTAACGCAATCATTATCTACGACATTTCGGCCATGCTACTTTTGATACGTTTCTGATATAAAATACTGTCATCACCGCTTCTTAATCGTGTTTGACAATTAAACACAAGTTGTCCTTAACAATTTATGGTTGATTTTGTTTTTCAAGTAAAGATTATAATCATTATAAGCATTGCTTTGAAGTAAAATAACATTACGTTGCTCCGTCCTTGAATTTGACGTCATTTTTGCGACACAAAACTAACGCAACTTCATTGCCCATATTCGTCGTTAACAAGTTGTTTCTTTGCGTATGACGTCTTAATTTTCACTAAATATCAAGCAGTAGTACCCTTTGATGTCACAACATTAAAACAAGAGTTTGCGTAAAAATTACAACTTTTAGCAACTTTTTATTCGAGTAGATGTTGGCATGAAATCAAGTGCTCCGTGATTCGTTGATCATGTTGTCATGGTGATTGGCGATTTGCCAATACAACTTTTATCATGTTTTTTAATTTAGAAATTTGTAGCAGAATGAATACTAGCTGAAGCAAAATTTTTAATCATCATATTAATATGACTGCTTATAATAATTTTATAGCATTGTCTACGAACTTTCCGGACAGCCCTCGTATAATACATAATAACATGGGAACTTTTCTAAACAGTATCCAAACATTTAACATTTCATAATTATGAGACAAACAAAAAATATTTTCAAGGATATAAACTCTACCTCAACCTCACTGCTATATTTAATCTTTACAAAAAAAGAACTGCCCAGATTCAGTGAATTTTGCTTTAGAAGCATATTCTACATAAAATGATGACAAGAAAGACCTGTACAATGATTCTTTACATTATTTATATTATATTTATTATGAAGTTATCGACCAGTCAAAAGTTACTGTAACATATAAAAATGGGGGGAATATATCCAACTCCAAAGAGGGAACATTTGAACCGCATGACGACAAAACCAACATAATGCGTTTGCGACCAGCATGGATCCAGACCAGCCTGCGCAACCGCGCAGTCTGATCAGGATCCATGCTGTTCGCTTACCAACCCTATTACAAGTAGAGAAACTGATAGCGAACAGCATGGATCCTGCTTAGACTGCGCGGATGCACAAGCTGGTCTGGATCCATGCTGGTCGCAAACGCATTATGTTGGTTTTGTAATGACGCGGCTCATTTAATACCTACAATGTGTGGTCTTCACACATGTCAGTCCTGACCATTCCCTGGAAGTTAAAGCTACATTCCTCCAGATGAGTGAAAATATTTCAATAAAATCAACTTGAGAAAAAAGTAATGATGTAAGGAAAAGTAAAAAAAATAATTTAAGATTCAAGTAAAATCGTACATATTATGTGCAATTAATGACTGACTTTTTCAGTAATTACAACTATATTTCTACTGTGATACCTTAGCAAGAAAGGGGGCCCTTTTAAACAAACCTTTTTTGACTATTTTTTTGGAAATTTATTTTGGTTTTTGAAAATTTTGCCATTGATTTTTCCCTCAATTTGAAAAATTGCTTCCTTTTGTTACTTCACAATTTTAAAACATAAAAAATAAAAATACTTTTTAAAAAATGTTTTTAAAAAATTAGATGAATCTGGAGGCATGCTGCTTTAATGCTGGTGTTAGGGTTATATTGGTGCATTACATATTTAGTTAACAAGGTGCATAAAAGTGATTACAGAGTGTACACTAATACAAACTATATCTGTATATCAAGATTAAATAAGCAAAATGAACAATATCCAGTTGGTGTTATAACTTTAACTTATACATCTCACACTTAGCATAACAATTAATATCCAGATATATTTTGTCCGAGATAATAGTTACATAATTATCAAACAAGTTCAAGTATGATCGTAGAGACCTAGCCAACAATTTCTCAGAAATTTTGTATGGCAAACCTGACATATTTTGTCTGACAAAACAGACAATTTTCTGCCTGATTTTCATGAATATAAAATATCCTCTTTCATATTTTCTGGCTTAATTGGTCAGTCATTTAAAGAAACACTGGATAATTTGACAGTCAACTTACATCAGGTATTATGGAAGGTGTATATGGTATTTTGTTACAAACATTTTTTAAGGAGGGGTGTGTGTGTGGGGGGGGGGATGGTGATGAGTAAAAATAAGTTTGTGTAAGACTGAGGCTGAAGAGGGTGTGGGTGTGGAGAAGAAATTTGTATCTTCAACATGTGAAAGTCTGTAACATGATTGTGTCAATCTCATAAAATGGACATGCTATTATATAGCACTGATGTAAGTAAATTCACAAGAAAAGCATTGATGCAAAGCATCAAAGGGCGTCCAAGCAAGAAATGCAGAAAAAGTGGAAAGATGAACCTAGTAGAACATATGATGAACAAGATATTTCTTATAAAAAACTTTTCAATTTAGTTTTTTTAAACCAGAATGTAAAAACGGAAAAAAAAACCCCCCAGGAAAGACATTGTTCATTATGAACTTTGATTGGCATGCCTAGAGATTAGAATATTTACTTGTTATTTCTTTAATGATCGTGATTATTAATAAGCAAAGGATTAATACATGTTTATACAATCAATTTATAATCCATATGTGAAACGCATGATCAACACCACACTTGTGGTTTAAATTGTCTCTTATGTTATCGCTATTAGCGAAAGACCCCCTCTTAAAAGGTATCTGTTCACAACTTAGTAAAAATATGACACTGGTTATATTACCAATGTTAATCATGTTGAGCATAATTGTTTATTATACAATAATTGTAATATCTATTTTAATATAGACAAATACCGATTTTATGAATATTGTTTTCCTCTCTTTTTCGTGTTTTATGTGCTATTTTAATACTGAGTTATCACGTTTACTACTCTTATTTTATTAAAATTGTAAAATAAATTTTAAAAATTCAATTGTCATATGAGTCATAACATAACTGGAAAAACTCAGTAAATTATGCTTAATCTTTCAATATACAATGTATTGCTTATTCTTAAACCATGTACATGTACATTTGTATTTTTCTTCATCATTTTTTTAAAATTATCAATCAATTGAATTATTCATAAAATCTAATTTGTAACTTTGAATAATTCCTGGGTATCTTTACTAAACACGAATAACAAAATAAATAAAATGTTTCAAAGTTGACAGTGTCATATTTATACCATAAAAATATACCTTTTTCTCAATTATTGTACATATTTATTGTTTTTTTATCTCATATAGATAAAATAAAACATGCTATTGTTGTTGTTGTTGTTGTTTTTTTCGAATTGTATGTTTATGTATAATAATAATCAATAAATTTGAGAGTTGATCTATGTTTATTAATTAGATTGTAACCAAACTAAGTGACAAACATTCATTTTGGAAAAAAAGCTTATTTATCTGTAAAATATCTATTCTGTTCTGTAACGATATCAAACATCTACTCCAAAACCGGGAGAGACTGGACAATAAACGTGTGATACTATTCGCCGGTCACTTAGGTAAATCCCGGTCAAAATAGACCGGGAGAGACCGGGAATTACCGATAGCAGTACATCCCTCTATAAATAGATTTTCGGAATGTATAGGTCATCAACTCATCATTCTATTTTAACATACCATAATAACCTACTGTGTACTGCAAAATGATAAATAAAAAAAAAACCCGAAGAGACGGAAAAGGTTATTTCATGCATTGCGAAATTCTCCAGGTCGCTATTCATTGTACATATCGAGACATTTTTTTTAATCAAGCACCCTCATACCGATCGGAATGATCGACTTTTATTATGACCGACTATAAGGCTCGAGAAGTTGCTGTCGCCCTTTCACAAAATCTGATTTCATTCCATAAGGGCGAAATAAGGGCGCCGCGCTTCGGCGCGGACGCCAACAATATAATATACTTTATAAAAGTACAAAGTTTGACTATCACCGAGTTACTATAAATGAATAAGCCCTATCTAAATAACAAGTGGCACACCATCATATATATCTCTTACACGTAGAAATATATACTGTACACGCTAAAACAATGAATTCTATCATGTAACTCTCCCTTTAGTCAAAAATAATTCTCACTGTCTCTTGTTTGTTTTATGGTTAGATTAAGTCTATAATCTTCCACAAACTGTTTTAATGCCAAATATGATATTTTTTAAACAGATTAAATAAAGTTTCCTTTTAAAAGGAAAGGCTTGCTCAGTTGTGCCATCATCCCTTCCCTTTAAAATTGTTTTTTTTGTTTCAATTTATTATCACAATTTTTTTTGAATTACGGCATTTGTATATCATAAAGGGTTTATTTAGGGTTTTTTCTCGAAAAAAAAGTTTCACTTTTTTTTTAAAGGGATAGGTAGGGTAAGCCCAAGACTGGACGAGCACCTAGCTGTGCCCATTTGTTTGAGCACCAGTGTTATGCGTGCAAATTTGGACCAAAATAGGGACCAGAAGTCCACTGATTATAACTGAACGGGAACATGCTGACGATAACAGTAGCAACTTTCTTTTTGTAAAAACGAATATTTTTTTTGTCAAAAACGATTCGAAATCTATTCTCTATATTGTATAAAACTAATAAAGAAAATAATCAATCGTAAAAATACTAACATTGGCTCTCACGTGGAGAATTAGAGATCAATCTATCATACTGAAGGGAAACAAGTGCGCACATTTCATTTCCACTTTTTTCGCAGAGAGAATCATTCGTTTTGGCAGTTGCTAATTTCATTTATATAGCAGCTTTAGAGACAAGTAAATGCACTAAAAGACTTCGTTACTAATAATCATGTACCTAAAATATCTATGATCGACAACACGTGGTAAGGTTAATGATATGCATGGGCTATTTTTAGATTACCTCACCAAGACGTTTAAACCTAAATATAACTTGATCATGCACTAATATTCTGCGTGACTCGGTCAAGATCTTTTGGTAAGCAGGGCCGCCCTTTAGAGACGGAATACTACTACAGTAACCATTCTCTATTGTATAAAACTAATAAAGACAAAAACCAATTATAAAAGAAACTAACTTTTGCGTCTTGAAAAAGAATTGAAACGGAATCAAGTAAAAATAGAAATCCTATTTATATAAACAAACTGGGATTACCGAAGTAACTAAAATAGCTTAGATTTCCGTAATATTACTTCGTCTGATTCCGCAGTATGACGGAATCGCCCGAATTGTCATGATTGCAATCAGAACTACTTCGGCTATTATCATAAATCCGAAGAGTGACGGAAAGGGCCGAAAAGTTGCGATTGGAACGATTGCAGCTGGTTTCCCGTTCAATCATGCACTAACAAATGTAAGCAGGAAACCACCTAACCGGAACAATTTTTCCAAAACAAATGGCTTGCAGCCGGGCTGCAAGCCAAAAATAACTTTATGTGCAGTTCCACCATAGGATCTCAAGATAGAGCTTTATGTAAATCATGACCACACATGACACAATGTTCCTGATCAAAGTCAAGAAAGATAACTTAAGAAATATTTACATAACTTATTAATTGCGTTGTCACAATCCAGATCGAAAAATATATAAATGAAATGATTTTTTTTTAATGTGCTGTTTTGTTTTTTGTTGTTTTTTTCTTTCACCAATTAAATGTACTTCTGAAAACTACTTCATATAAATAAATACACACGCACGCACGCACGCACGCACGCACACACACACACACACACACACATGTATATTTCTTGCGATCATTGGTCATTATGAGAGAATGTAAAAATGTATGTATACAGTCTACTTAACAGGAAGAAGCTGAATAATGTAAGTTATCAAAGTATAATGATGAAGTAACTGCAAACATGAGAGATGTAATCTAAGTAAATATCATCATAAATAATAGCACACATAAAACAAGAGGGCCGTGATGGCCCTGAAATTGCTCACCTGAATATAGAAACTTTTCATGACAAGGAACTAGTAATATTGTAAACTATAAACAAAAGCAAATAAAAATGTAAAACTGATATCACAAAGTTCATATTTGTATCTGAAATAGTGCATGTGTCAAAACATTACTGGTTGCTACTGCAAAGGGAAAACAACAGTTCCAAAAGATGTGCACATGTAAGGAAAATCAATGATCCCACGGAGCACGGCCAATTTACACCCCAGGGTTTTTATTTGAATAAACTTAGTAGACACTCACTAGAAGATGTTTAATGCTAAATGTCTTAGCTCAAATCTTTGGGTTTATTTAAAACAAGATTTTTTTAAAGTTATTACAATATACAAACAAGAAAAGTATTGATGCAAAGCATCAAAGGGCGTCCAAGCAAGAAATGCAGCAGGTGAAGATGAACTAGTAGACATATGATGACAAGATATTTTTATAATCTTTTCAATGGTTAATTGGTTTTTACCAGAATTGTATATCACTTATGAATGAACGGACGAAAGACATTGTTCATTGTGAACTTTGATTGGCATGCTAGAGATTAGAATATATCTTGTTATTTCTTTATGACCGTGATTATTAATAGCAACGGATATACATGTATACAATCATTTATAATTCATATGTGTAACGCATGATCAACACCACCCTTGTGTAATTGTCCCTTATTATGTTATGTTGATCATGTTGAGCATAATTGTTTTTATACAATAAACAACAACAACATAAACTTTATTTAGCTCAAGCAATGATAACAAGCATGTGAGCATACAGCAAATTATACAAAAAAATACCTTGTGAGGTCACGTGACAGATTGTTTGTTAAACGGGGAATTGACAATAGTGATGGTGTGTTACTCCATTTATTTTTTTGAAAAGGACTATAAATTCTTGTCTGGGAATGTTCCATTTTCGGATATTTGGTGGCTGAAACTTATTTAATAATCTACACTTTGTAATAGTTATGTGAATTTTGAGCACTATCAACACCATTTTATATTGTTTTTTAAAGAAACAAAGTTTATTCTTATTGTATTTGTGCAGCCTGAATTAAATCACTGCATCGAAACCGCGCTATACCCAAAAGATAGTGTAAAACTAGAACTAGAGAAGTCAAGGAAAAAAGCTTGACCTATGAAAAAATAGACATATGAGTTATAATCTGTGTCAATGAAGTGACAGTTTGCATTAATTACAAAAAAAAGAAGAAAAAAGATTATAATATTTGTACATAAAAACTGATGAACTATACTGACAGCAGTGACAAGGAAAAGCAAATGGAATAAATAAAACATTAATACAGTATTGGTGTACAGATCCTATGACAGTATTACCATTTTTACAGAGAAAATATATTCATGTGATTCCTTACTGTTTAACCGTTTCTAAAATAATTTTAATAAATGTATATAGCTTTTTTGACTGCGTATTAAGTAGCTCTTTAAATTTAAGAGTGTTACATCTTCTTAAATAATAAGGTTTAATGTACTATTTTCTAGTCTGATTAAAAAAAATGTAATATCTATTTTAATAAAAAAAATTACAGATTTTATGAATTTTGTTTTCTTTTCTTTTTTTGTGTTTTATGTGCTATTTTAATACTGAGATTTTACGTTTACTACTCTTTTTTTATATTAAAATTGTAAAATAAATTTTAAGAATTCAAGTGTCATATTGACCGACGATTATAAGTCAAAACTTAACTGGAAAAAGTCAGTAAATTATTGTTAATCTTTCAAAATTAATTTTGTTTTATTTTAAAACATGTACATGTACATTTGTATTTTTCTTTATCATCTTTTAAATTATCAATCAATTGAATAATTCATAAAATCTAATTTGTAACTTTGAATAATTCCACGGCATCTTTACTAAACACGAATAACAAATTAAATAAATTCTTTCAAAGTTGATAGTGTCATATTAAAACCATAAAAATGTACCTGTTTTCTCAATTATTGTACATTTTTATTGTTTTTATCTCATATAGATAAAATGAAACATGCTATTGTTGTTGTTGTTGGTTTTTTTTTTTCGAATTGTATGTTTATGTATAATAAATTAATAAACAATAAATTTGAGAGTTGATCTGTGTTTATTAATTATTGTAACCAAACTAAGTGACAAACATTCATTTTGGAAAAAAAGCTTATTTATCTGTAAAATATTTGTTCTAAACCAAAACCGGGAGAGACCGGACAATAAACGTGTCATACTATTCGCCGGTCACTAGTAAATCCCGGTCAAAATAGACCGGGAGAGACCGGGAATTACCGATAGGAGTACATCCCTCTATAAATAGATTTTCGGAATGTTTAGGTCATCAACTCATCTTTCGGATACGTGTACAACAATAACATACCATAATAACCCACTGTGTACTACAAAATGATAAATAAAAAACCCCGAAGAGCGCCATTTATTGCATTTGAAAATGTTTGCATTGCGAAATTCTCCATTTCGCTAATCATTGTACATATCGCGACATTTCATTTTTAATTAATAATCAAGCACCCTCATACCGATCGGAATGATCGGCTTTTATTATGACCGACTAAAAGGCTCGAGAAGTTGCTGTCGCCCTTTCACAAAATCTGATTTCATTCCATAAGGGGCGCCGCGCTTCGGCGCGGACGCCAATAAAGAAAATCAATGACCCCGGGACAGGGCAAATTTTGACCCAAGGGATTTTATTTGAACAAATATTTACAAATTTGGTAGACACTGACTAGAAGATGTTTCATGCCAAATATCTAAGCTTAAGCTTTTTGGGTTTTTTTAAAAAGAAGATTTTTTAAAGTTTTTTCTTTCGGTTGCCATGGCAACCAGAGTTCTGCATGGAATTTAATTCTTTGAACAATTTATAAAGGTGGCCACCAAAGGAACATTCCTGTGAAGTTTGGATTAAATTGGCTCAGCGGTTTATGAAGAGATGTCGTTTAAAGTAAAAGTTTACGAACGGACACTGGACGAATTGTGATCACAAAAGCTCACCTTGTCACTTTGTGACATGCGAGCTGAAAAAAAACCATTCCACTCATCATCAACTTCGCATGTGATGAATATATAATTTCATCATCCAAAAACTGAATGTTATAAATCAATTTATATGTTTATAAAACATATATATCTAATTATATATCTACTCCACTCCTATCATCACTTTTAACACAAACTAAACCATACAACACATCAGCTGTGTATATATAGGCCTTTCTCCTCTTAGTATTATTTCACTTCAAGAATCCTCATAATGTCACTGACTAATCCACAAATTTTACTAATTAATTAATCCACACATGTCACTTAACTCGCCAAACATTTCACTGGACAATCCACTTATCACTTATATCTTTCTTATATCTATCTGCTTATTTCATGTATGTTACATATTTCATGTATGTAACACTGGGTAACTTATTTGAATGTTTGAGCATTCCCATTCCCAGTTGAGGTCTTTCTATGTTTCAACTCCCAGTTAACACTTTCGGAACACAACTTTCCACACTGAAAGTGATTGTTCAGTTTTCATTCTACATCTTTATTCCTAGCACCGGCACATACCTGTACCAGCTCAAGTTCTATCTACATCCTAGCACCGGCATATACCTGTACCAGCTCAAGCACTATGACCATGTCTACTGAAATTCACACCTCACTGATCTAACAATTCCTCACACAGGAATTAACATCATATGTGTTTGGACACATTTTGTAGTATATAAGGAACTATGTACATGTAATGTAATTTTCCACTTGTAATGTGTCCCAGTCTCCTCTCAATCTTATACCTTTAAGACATTAACTTGTTACCACTATCACTTATGAGAACAACAGTCTCTCTACTGTAACAAAATATAATTTGTCTTCCATTATAACAAATTTTCTCATTTATAACAATCAAGTCAACATAGTCACCAAGAAACAATTTCATTATTTAAAAATTAAGACATCACAATAATGAATTCGCGATGTTACGATGGAGAATACGCGATGGCACGATGGTGAAAACACAATGGTACCGTGGTGAATACGCGATGGTACGAAGGTGAAAGCGCGATGGTACGATGGTGAAAATGCGATGGTATGAAGGTGAAAGCGCGATGGCACGATGATGAAAACGCGATGGTACGATGGTGAAAGCGCGATGGAACGATGTTGAAAACGTAATGGTACAATGGTGAAAGCGCGGTGGCACGATGATAAAAACGCTATGAAACGATGGTGAAAGCGCAATGACACGATGGTGAAAACGCGATGGCACCATGGTGAAAACACAATGGTACGATGATGAAAACACGATGGCGCGATGGTGAAAACACGATGGTACGATGTTGAAATCGCGATGATACGATGGTGAAAACGCGATGTCTTATCTCGTTTTCACCTTCGCACCATCGTGCCATCGCGTTTTAACCATCGTGTCTTCTTGCATCGCGGGTACATACTTAATAAAAATCACGATTGTCCAAACGGAACACCGTACAATAAAGGTGTATATTTATAAACATATAAATTATTATTTCTAGCACTATCGATGTCATAGGTGTTATTCTTTTGTTTCCCTTGCATATGCAGATGTTTTTATTTCATATGGCATCAGGTATTGTATCAGCATATTTTTTATGAAATGAATACATTGTATCAGACCTACACATCTACATAACACAAAGCATGTTAAATTTACTTAGACATAAAAAATGTACATATCCATAGAATGAAAAATAAAGAAAACAAATAATAAAACAACAAATACTAACAGGTAAAAATTTCAGAAGTTAACAATCATATACAAAATTTATACAAATTAAAACATCTTGTCATTTCTTGTGTAAATCCAAGTGACTCAAAATCGTATTCATTCTATAAGACCTCTGTAAAACACACTGCCATAACTTCTATCTATAGACTTACAGCACTCAAGTACTGTGCTATTGAAAGTCAACGAACCAAAGATATTTCCTTTTGGTCTAAATAAAACAGACTTCCGAGCATATTTACAAAGCTGTAATATTTCTGTCAACTACTAAGTGGTGACCTGTTTCTATTCCATGTTCTATTTCTAACTTTCACAAGGATAACTGGCTGCCCCTGACTCTGTCAACAGTTCAAACTCCATGTCATTTTCATCCTCTAGAGGTTCAAATGGGACCGACTGTGCAGTATAGTATTGAGTATCAGAATCAGAATCTGCAATTATAAATAAAATCACTTATAAATTTAGGTTTTCATATATATATGTTTCCAAACCACCACCGAGTTCTTATCTTGTAAGTAAAAATGCTACGACGGATAGACGGAAGGCGCCAGAGGTATAATATAATATAAGCAATTTTTAGGGCATAAAATTAATGTGCTCAATATAATTGATCATCCTATGAAGTTTGACAGTTGTAAAACAACTGTCAACAATATCTAGGTCATTTGATATTGACCTTTGACCTTGTGACCCCAATATAGATATGGATCCTTTATTCAATATGACAATCATCCTATGACGCTGTACACTGTAAGCCAAATAGAACTTGTGTTATTCTCCAGAAACCACATTTTTCAGTGTTAAGGGCATAGTGACCCTGACCTTTGACCTTATGACCCTAAAATCAATAGGAGTCATGTATTGGACAAAATCTTTAACTGTAGGTTATTAATACTTAATTAATTGAGCGGATAACCGTTTCAGTTTTAAGATTATAGTGACCTTTGACCATGTGACCCAAAAATCAATAGGGGTTCATCCTATGAAGTTTGAATATTGTGGGTCAATTTAAGCTTAAGTTATGCTCCGAAAACCAAATTTCTAACGGAGGGACGGTCTCACAGAACAGTAATTATGTGGCTACTCTATTGTTCCCTTTATTGTTTTTTTAGCCACACAAAAGAAAATAGCCACATAAAAGCATTACAGAATGAATAACCTCAAAGAGAAAGGACAGTTACCTATTGCCCTCTAGCCACATAATTACTGTCTTGTGAGAGCGGACAGACGGACGGACGGACGCCAGGGGGTATAACATAATATGTCCGAAATTCTTTCGGGCAAAATAAAAAAGAGTATTTCATTAAAGTGGCATTATGTCCATCTGAAGGGTATATAGTGGGTGAACAGATGAATGTCAATATATGTTTACATTTTGCAATAATTCCTTTCTATTTTTTTCTTTAATTGGCATGAATGATGAATAAGTCATGTGGCCCAAGGAAATTATAATAAATGCCCATTGGAAATTACCTCCTGTGACATTCAATTCATAAAAAGAGTGGGACCGTCTTTTTATATTTTAAGCGGATTTATACTTAACATAACATTTTCCATTTATGCAATATCAAATGTTGGTCACTCTCCGTTATAACAGTAAATCTTTCGAAATAAATAGTCAATTCAGCTCAACTTGACAATGAGAAATATAGTCACTCTAAAATGACATTGACAGTCAAGCTCAATTACATCTTAATTATTCAATGTTTGTTTGGTTGCAAGTTTTGTTTTGTCTTAGTTTATATCAAATCCATAAGTAAATAACAAAATTATGCCAACCATTAAATTTTTAAGGTCAAGGTCAGTTCAGCTTTCAAGAAGGTATTGTCAAAAATGTTGAAGTAAGAAGATAATCTATTTATTGATGACCAAGTTACAGTCAATTATACCAATGGAAAGACAATAATTTTCCTTTAAGGTATAAATATTCGATCCTACGCCCAGAGTTTGTTTCTGTAATCTCCAAATATTTAACCCTGTGACAAACAAAACTTTAAAAAGAAAATTAAAGAAAAAAGTGAAGTTTTTCCTTCATATAGGTTTGTCTAGTCACGCTTGCTATTTTGTCCAAGTAAGAATTCTTTCCATAAATAAATGACAAATGTTGGAAAATATAATCATTTGACGGTCAAGGACAATTAAAGGTCAACGTCGTATCAAAATAATTTAACCTGTCTGTTTGGTCCATGTGATGTTTTGTCCACGTATGAATCAAATACATACATAAATGACAAAACAATGACAAGTTCAATACTTTGAACTTGACGGTCAAGGTCATTAAAAGCTTAATGTTTAGATCAGTTCAATCTTTTAGAAGGTCTTGTCAAAAGGTTGTTTTGTCAATCAATTTATTAATAAGTTACAGCCCATTATAGCAATAATAAGTTAAAATTAAATAATCTAACCCCCGAGGTCAAGTTCATACACGAGTAAATGCCAATTCGAGTTTGCTATACATGGAGGTCTTGGCGTAAATGATTTTTGTTGAAGTTGATTCATTTATAAATAACAAAGTTATAGCCAGTTAAAAATTAGAATTTCATTTATTTGACATTGACAGTAAAGGCCAATTTAAGATCAAGGTCACATCAAAATTTTTCAATATGCTTATTTGGTAGCAAGCCTTGTTGTGTCCAAGTTTACACAATATCAGTTCATTAATAATGAAATTATGACAATTCAACCAAATTTAAATAATTGACCTTGATGTTTGACCAAACTTTTTTTGGGAGACATAATAAATAATAAAGTTTCCTTCCCTTTAGGATGAATCCCATTTAAACAAGTATTTTAAGTGTGAAGTGATTCAATTGGACAGTGTTTGAGAAATTGTCCATGGAAAAGTAAGCAAAACTAAAGTTATGCAACACTGACGAGAGGGTAATGACAATAGCTCATTATTTTTTCTTTAAGGTTGAGCTAAAACATATCTCGTTTCAACATTTAAAATGATTAGACTGTTGTCATAATAATATACAGCGTTCCATAACTTTGTAACATACCTTCTTGAATTTCCTGGGACAAAAGATAGGTACGAAGTGTAACTTCCTGCCTCTGTTTACCAGACGTTCCCTCCTTAAGATGATACACAGTTTTGCATGCATTATTTTTGCTGTAAAACAAGTTCTGATGATCAGTAAACTTTGCCCTCGTGAAAGCATCATTAGACGAGTTGTCCGAAACACGGGCTTTTGTTAAAAGCTGTACAGGAGAATTTCTCTGTATTTGTTCTGTTTGATTCTGACTGGTGGTTGGGTAATATCTTGGTTCACACCACGCCAGTTTTACACATGTCTGTTCCATATCTGATCCTTGTCTTAATACTGAGTCACTGGTACCTGATACTGTGCTTTCCATCACAGTTTTTGGTTCTGTATGGTCATAATTATCATCATTGTCATTCTCATTAACCTTAAGACTAAATGGCGAAACTGCAGCCACAGGCCTAACCAAACCAATCGGTTTCATACTTCTTGAATATTTGCTTTGAACCACAGTTTTAGGGTCTGTATAGTCACAATTATTATCATCATCGTCATCCTCCTGTACCACAGTTTTAGGTTCTGTATGGTCACAATTATTATCATCATCGTCATCCTCCTGTACCACAGTTTTACGTTCTGTATGGTCACAATTATTATCATCATCGTCATCCTCCTGTACCTCAAGATTGAATGATGATCCTTCAGCCTCAGGTCTAAGCAAACCAATTAAATTACTTGGAGCACTCTCCCCAGTAGGCATTTCCTTTATTTTGAGAGAAATTGATTTTTCTATAGAAAAACTGTTAAAATTTACACTTTCATCAAATAGTGAATTATTGTTCTCCATTCCTTCTTCAGAACTTTCATCAAATTTTGAGCTATTATCAAATATTTCCCCCGAATTAAATTCACTAACAATATTGTTCTCATAAGGAAAAACGTCTTGTGCCTCATCTCTTTCTTCTATAATTTCTAGCCCCTGCAATCATACAATTATCCTCAATACTGGCATCTATAATACAGGCCTAAAAAGGCTACATAGACCCTATCTTGGCTGCTTAATAGTTTAGTCAATATACCCTCATACGGGGTCAACCTAGAACTAATTGCAAAAGTTATAAAGTTGTTTTTTTCTGAAACTAGTATGCATGTTCATTTATCCATTAAAGTCCCGACCTTTTGCTGTTGCAATTGCTTAGAAAATGATGCCTGAATTACATGGTACCTTGGATTTCATGAAAAATGTACAGAATCAGGAAGTCAGTTTACATATTAATATTTATTGTAAATTTTAAAATTATATAAATATATCACTACAATATCAAATAATAAATAACAAAATTATAGTGTTATTATTTTTAATGGGTGAGATCAAAGCACTATAAAACACATAATGACCGAGAGAACTATTACACATATTCTTAATGGTTGAAAGTGATGTCAATATCAATCCTAATGGGTGAGAGCAAAGTACCATATAACACATAATGAGTGAGAGAACTATCATAAATAAGCCTTAGGGTTGAGAGTCATTAATTTACCTAATGGATGATTTTGTTTGTTTGTTTGTTTCATTTTACGCCTTTTCCCCAACAGTTTTTCAGTCATATAGGCGGGTAGTTTCCTAAACATCGTTCCTGAAGAGTTACACCAGTATTAGACTACCTTCCTCCGCGCTAAACTACCAAAGCATCTCCCGGGGATCAAACCCACGCCAGAGAGGTAAATGGATTAGAAGTCATCGGCTCTAACCCCTCGACCACGGAGGCGGTCTACCTAATGGATGAGAGCAAAACACTGGGTTAGAGCAAAACACTATAAAACGCATAATGATTGAGATAACTAGAGAACTATTATATACATGTTACCTTAATGGATTAAGGAAGTCCAAATTTATCCTAATGGATGTGAGCAAAACACTATATAACACATATTGAGTGCGAGAACAATCATATATTATCTTTAGGTTTGAGAGAAGTCATTATTTGATCAAAGTGTGTGAGAAAAGCAACATCATTATAACAAAGAATGATAGAGATGTTACGTGCCGGGCGTAACAAGGAGGATAGGACACCAAAACCAGCAACAAGCTTTTTTAAACGTAACAATATTTATTTACATGAAACAAATAAACAATTAAAAGAAATGAAGTCAACAGTACCATTTAAATTAATAAGTCCAAAATGTCCCCAGAAAATAAAATTAATTTAGAAGCACTAAGTCCGAATACAAGAATGAGTATCAAAGATCAATCCATAGCTTACATTCAAGCATAAAAGTTTTTCTTTAATAATTGGTGAAAGTTTTCCAAAGATGCCCTAAGGAAATCTCAGCTTTATGTATGCTATCTAGGAATGTTCATCAATCATGTGTCAATAATCAAGATATAAGACTTTTACAGAAAGTATTCAACTGTGATAACATTTTCTTAAAATAATCAAAATGTTTACGAAATTTCTAAAATAATATTTAAATTTCCAAAAGTTTTTTCACTTTTCCGGAAGGTTCTAAAGCACAAAGTAAACAACTTGTTTATGTCAAATATCGGGACAATCAGAAACTTTAAAAAATCATGAAGCAATATATTTTCTTAATCTTAACATCATGAACATAACACAGAGATTTATCGTATTATATCTTAATGGTGAGAGCGATGTCATAGTAAGAGCTAAACACAATATAACAAATATGGGTGTTATAAAAATAATTGTTCTCATCCATTAGGGTTAATTAAAATAATTTTCTCAATCATTATATTCCCTCACTCATCACCCATTACTATGAATTATAACAATTCTCTCAATCATTATATGTTCTGACTTGTTTAGGTCAAATAATGCCTTCTCTAACAATCCTTTGTATAATATATAACAGTTCTTTCAGCTATTTTGTGTTTTATAGTACCCTTATTTTCTCCCTCACTTACGTTCGTCCGAAAATAAAACAATTATTTGACAAGGAAAAACAAAGACAATATCGGGTTAGAAGGTGATTTGCTACTTTTTGAATTTTTTAATGCGTAAACGTTTCCATTAAAAGGAAAAATAGCAAAATCACTATGTTTGCATGATCCTGGATTGAAAAACTGACTAGTTTTACAATACTCTATGAAATCTGTCACAAAGTTTTGAAACTCTCTGGTATGTATATTGACAAGTAACGACCAGAAAATTGCAGACTCCCACTTTGGAACTATCAAAGTTCCCTCTGCCCTACAAATAAACATATGCTGTAAAACTCTAAGAACTAAATTTACTGGAGGAACAATCCAATTATTTTGATTTTCCCAGTTATAAGCAAATGCACCAATCCCAGACGTACCAGGACACCAGAATTTTGAATAAAAAACGTTCAATTTATTGTTTTTATTGTTTGCGAACTAGTCGACTTTGAAGGGACCCCATTTAGCATTAAGAAACTCAAAAATATATTCCGATACGCCCCAGTTGTCCCAATCGACAATATGCCTCGCGTCGTCTGCTATGAAATTCAAAAATCTAGGAACCCAGGCGATTTCTAACAAATTACTGCGCTGAACACATAAATCGAACATTTTTCTAGCAATAGTTTACAAAGGACCCTTTGTACTTCCCTGATTAACTATTCTAAAAACGTTTTGGTTGTCAGAGTATATTTTCACGAACCTATTATACTTTTCAGTAGTTTCTGATAAGGAAATTTCAAAAATTATTCGCAATTCTCCAAACAAATCCTGTGAACTTGACCCAATTCCAACATTGCTGAAATGAACTATTACCATTGATCACAAAAATCATAAACACTTCACTTGAGAAGGCCTATGTACCACCCGCTTTTAAAAGTTCTAGAGTCAGACCTTTAATCAAAAAGTCAGGGTTAGATCAAGAGGTTATGAAGAACTACCAGCCTGTATCTAATTTACCGTTTGTCTCCAAAATTCTCGAGAAAGTTGTCGATTCCCAACTTGAAAGACAGCTATCTGCACATAAACTTCATGAAGAGCGTCAGTCTGCTATTAGGCAGTTTCATTTAACAGAATCTGCTATATTATGGGTACAAAATGACATTCTCCGTTCTCTTGATCAGAATGAAACTACTGTTCTAATAATGCTGGACTTATCTGCTGCTTTTGATACGATCGACCATAGTACCCTCCTTTGTCGAACAACACTTCGGAGGCTAACCTTTACATTGGATGAAATCGTATATGTGTGAGCGTCATCAAACTGTCTGCGTCAATGGTGAACTGTCAACAGCTGTACGTATGACATTTTCTGTGCCACAAGGGTCCGTTCTTGGTCCGAAGTATTACATCAAAACCTGTGGGCGCGATCTGTCGGAAGCATAAACTTCAACATCATTTCTACACTGACGATTCGCACTTGTACATGGCATTTAAACAAAAGGAAGCCATTTCACGCAATGATACCTTGCGACGGATTAAAGCATGCCTAAATGACATCAAACTATGGGTGAATAAAAACTTTTTGAAACTCAATGCGGATAAAACAGAGGTGATTATCTTTGTACCAAAACAAAGTGACGTTAAAGATCTTACTGTAAGAGTCGGTGATTCTGTAATAAAACCATTTACAACAGTTAGAAACCTTGGCGCCGTACTGGATTTTCATTTAGACATGGAACAACATGTGAACTCAGTTTCTCGTTCATGCTTCATGAAAATTCGACAAAAAGGTCAAATTCGGAAATACTTGACTGTTGATTCAACCAGAACCTTAATAAACTCGTTAGTGACATCAAAATTAGATTACTAGATTACTGTAATTCGTTGCTATATGGATCTCCAAAGTACGTTATCAACAAGCTCCAAAATTTTCAAAATACGGCTGCTCGTGTTATTACCAGGACACCGCGAAACTGCCACATAACCCCAGTTTTAAAGGAACTACATTGGCTTCCTGTGCACATCAGAGTCGATTACAAGCTCCTTACATATGTGTTTAAGGCGCTTCATGGACAGGCACCTACGTACATACGAAACATGCTAGACATTTATATCCCAACCAGACAACTTAGGTCCCAGAATGATTGCTTAGCACTTGTCGTTCCGCGTATTAGGACTGTGACTTATGGTGATCGTGCTCTTTTGACGGCAGCCCCTAAACTCTGGAATGCCCTACCTAGAACACTTAAAAGCTGTAAAACTCTAACAGTGTTTAAGAGAGCGCTTAAAACTCACTTATTTAAGAGGGTTTTTTTGGACTGATTATTTTTAGGTTCGCTTTTTTTAACAATTCTTAAGTCTTACCTATATTTTATTATTTATGTGGGTCTTTTTAACTTTTTAAACTACATTTGATTTGAATTTGTGACTTGAGCAAATAATTTATTTTGTTATACTGTACAGTACTTTTGAACGTGTCAATGTGCATGAAAAAGTGCTTAAGAAGTTTGGTATATAATAATAATAATAATTATATAACTGATCAGAAAAAGTTTCGATTGCAAATTCTAAAGCTTTCATCTCCCTCCAAGTTGAACTCATTTTGCCATCATCAACTTTAAACATATAATGAGAAACTTGATTGGTTGAACCTAGTAAAATACCTGCTCCTGCAAAATAACTAGCGTCTACAAAAAGAATACGCTTTGGAATCCTGTAAATAGGCATTACTGATCTAAATGTTAAATTTGACAAATTGTTGAGCCAAAATTTCAATTCCTTAACAGAATCTTGATCAAGATATATACAACTATCCCATGTTAACCTGTTTACAATTGGTACATGTAAATTCTGGTCATGATATTACAAATATTACCAAAACTAAAGGACATTGAAATAATATTTCCTACTACTTTTGCTAAATAACGTGCAGTAATACTAGTATCAGATTTGACGCAGTTTATCAATAACTGTTTCAGTTTATCAATTTTTCTAGAGGGTATCTCAACGGTACATTTATACATGTTCCAAAAAACCCTAGCCATTCTATAATTAAAGTAGGTGACCAAATAATTTTCTCCTCATTTACAAGAAGA